TCTGAAGAACGTAGGGGCAGGACAGGAATAAAGATGCAGATGTAGAGAATGGACTTGAGGACATGGGGAGGAGGAAGGGTAAACTGGGACGAAGTGAGAGAGTAGCATTGACATATATACACTACCAAATGTAAAACAGATAACTAGTAGGAAGCAGCTGCATAGCACAGGGAGATCAGCTCAGTGCTTTGTGACCACCTAGAGGAGTGGGATAGGGAGGTTGGGAGGGAGTCACAAGAGGGAGGGGATATGGGGATATATGTATACATGTGGCTGATTCACTTTGTTGTTCAGCGGAGACTGGAACAACATTGTGGGGCAATTATACTCCAATAAAGATGTTTAAAAAAAAAAGATATGTCTCAGTCAAATTAAATTACAGAGAGTATTAACATTTATGGAATAAAAATTCCTAAAATAGAACTGGGTAGAATTCCTAAAGTAACACCCAATTCTTACAAAATCTACCACTAGGAAACAGAGGTTTCATTTTATATCGCATTGTAACTGCACCAAGGAATCTTCTTTAGCAAAGTCCCAACATCCCTCTTCAATTTCAGTATGACATTTTATTCTGAAGTTAATAGATAATAATATGTACAACCATAGAATATCAGCTAACTCAAGACACTAAATATAGACAGGGTAATACTGTAGCTTCTGTTCTATTAGGACATAAGAACAGGACCCAAATCTGACCAGGTATAAGATCTTTAGACTCATTCAGTCCAGTACTGCATGGCAGAGCATAGAGCAAGCCTCTCAGAGACAGTGTTGTACCAGAACAACCTTCCTGACTTAGTTTTCCTCCCTCTCAGAATCAATTTGGTTAAGAGAGGAAACCAAAGCCATACAACATCATCATGTGAAAGCCATTGGAAAGAGAATGAAAAAAAGAATATTTAGAATGTAGGAGAAGATTACTGTGAGCTCCAGATAATTAATTATTATAGACTGCATAATTTGTTTCTTTTAGATTTTAACTTATTAAACATGAAAGGGCCTTTATATTGTGAAAAGCACCCAAGTGTTATGACTTTGTATGGGAATCATCATTAAATCAGCTACCCCTAACTGTTAGAAACACCCTATGTAAGAAATACAGACATGTATTAGAGATACATAGCCGGGCAAGTGGTGTTAATGGCAACAAACATGTTTTTCAATATGCTTTTCTGAGTTCTTAGAAATGCCTTTGACAAAAAGGTTAATGAAAATCTTCTAAAACACAACAAAATGTTGATTGTAATGATATTATTATTAGTTAAGTATATGTTTTTTTTTATGCCTTTCTGAGTTTTGCAAGTTGATTACTTATAAGAGCTTTAACCAAAAATTAATGAATTATGAGAAGTTATAGATAACATATATATAAGAACAGAAACACCTTTTATTTCTCTGTGTGTATATATTTAATTCAAACTTTATAATTTAGATTCAGCATGAATCGCAATAAATGGATCTTCAGCAGAGTTACTAATAGAAAAGTTAGCATTGCCATCACCGGAAACATAGATTTTAATTCCTGTACAATAGTTACCAATTTTATCTCCAGAAATGACATCACAATATGTACCAGCAGGAAGACCAGTTTGCAAAGTTGAAGATAATGCCCTGTAAAATAAAATTTAAGGTTTCACCACAATTAAAAGCAAGAATACAGACTATCTCTAAAACAAAGAGTTTAACTTTGTGCTGTAGAACTCTAAGCAGTCAAGGTCTCAATGAAAATAAAATGCAAATACAAAGGCCTCTCCAGTGGCTGTAAGTAGTTTTCTTAGGGTCAACAATATTCATATACAAGAGAAGACTTAGGCGTAACCTAGTCAAGAGTAAATATTATTAAAAAAATAATAATAAGGTTGAAGAGTATCAGTGAAGATTTGGTTGAATTGGCTCCTTTAGAGAAAATTGATTCCTGTGGTAAACACACACATTTAAAATTTGTCTTCATCTGAACGTAAGAAAATACTGATTACTGTCAAGAATTTAAATATGATTATTTCTTCAAAAACCTCTTTTTTTTCAAGAGGGTCAAATAAATTTGGGCTGGAGATAAAAATAATCTCGCATTTCTATGAAGAAGTATATGGTTTTAAAATACAAATCTGTCCCATAAATTTATTTTGATTCTCCCATCTACAAAAGACAGAAATTAAAGGACTGGCAATGGAGTCTTGGGGAAGAAAGAGATACACTTGATTTATTTTTTGTCAGTAAAATATAATTTGTGCTAGAGTGAGCTAAGCATGAGTGGAAGTTAGCCTTTGGCAAAGGCATTTCAACTGCTTGCAAAGAGGTCTTCTCAGCTATAGTTCTCTGTGTGAGGGAATCAGTATACTTGAGACAGAGAATATAAGTGTCACAAATGAAAAGCCAGTAATGAGATGTTTCAGAACTAAAACTAAAAAATCTCCTGACGTCAATCAATGACCATAACATATATATTCTTCATATATATATATGCTTTAAAAAGCATTATTTGCCACAGAAAGACAGGACAGTGAAAAAAGAAGACCAAAGAACTAGATACCAGGGTATGTGAAAAAAAAGAGACAGAAAAAAAGATATTTCCGTCCTGAGGCAGTATTTTTCCATTATTTATTTTAAAAGTCCTAGAAGACAGTCTTCTAGGGATTTCACAACATTTATATTATGTGAATTTTATGTGAGATGTATATGTTAGCATATATATGTGCATATCTTCCCATGATATGCACAAGTATACAAAAAATAACTCTACTTAGAAGAGAAAGCCCTTATAAAGAGAGATCAAAATAATAAGAGTCATCATCATTTTTCTGCTGATCACTAAGTTTTCTTAATCTGCTGACTAAAAGATTTTTCAGATATGAAAGAAGTAAATGAACAGGAAAAGAATAAATCAAGAACATGTTGGTACAAAATATTATTTCTAATTGATGTCTACTTACCAGTCATCATTGTTAAAGACAATGAATCCTCTGTTTCCTCTTCCAAAAGCTACTTGGTTGCTACCATTATCCCACCAGTTTGTAAAAGGTTGGCCATCAACTACATTGCGGAACACAACCATGTTCCTAAACACAAAATAGCATAGGAAATGCTGATGAATATGTCAACAGTTTAAAACAAAATGTTAAGAAACTGTATTATTAGAGGATATCTCTAAATAAGTATTCCTACCTTATTTGACGCCATCGATGTTCACAGACCCAGTCATTGCCACAAGTAGTATCTGGATTAATAGTAACTTCTTTAATGACTCCATTATTATTTGGTGGCCCAATCCAATTATTAACATCCTCAATTAACAAAAAAAATTAATACATTTTAAAAGCTCACATTATTAACATTACATGTGCCCTTATTCAGTCCACCAAACCCAATCTGTCCCTTATGTGTCTCTGTAGTGTCTTCATTGAGAATTCAACTTGTTCCGTATTTTTACTGAATTTATCTTCCCCCTAACATCCCATTCTCTAGTGCCATATTTCAAACAAGGCTATGATTCTCTTACCCTCTCATTTTCTTTGCAAGGAATTGCAATGACTTCTTAATATCACTCTAGGTAGTGCAATGTCACTGAAATGGCAAGGCCTTTAGTGTCAGAAACAGCAGGACTAAAAGATAGGCTCTATTAGTACTAGCTACAAAAAACTCAGTTAATATACAAAACTTCGGTGCCTGATTTTCCTCTTCAGTAAAGTGAAGATATTACTTAGTGACTATAAAAATTAAATGAGGTATGTAAAAATGCTTTCCACATGATAATTGATAAATAAATATTAGTTTCTTTCATTCTTCTTTGTTAAATAAATGTACTAATCAAAGCATCACAATATCCCTTAATAAATTGACCAAATTTTTAATATTGTGGTTTCTGATTGGTACTTTCAAAGATAATCATAGGATAAAACAGATTATGTCTAGGAAGTTTATCAAGGTCTGTCTTAAATCCTGTTGTATGATGAATAGTGGACAAAACTAAGAGTTGTTAGCATGCACAAGTCCTGGAGAAGTCTTGGAAATGTTATGGGAAAAGGGGAAATGGACATACGCCATGAGTCCAGCCATCAGAAATAAGACCAGTTAGTGGGAATTACAAGAAATTGACTCAATATAAAGGGACATCTTCTAACTATTAAGCCTATCTAACAATAGAATGAGTTGCTGTACAAAGTAGTGGACTTCTCAATTTGAAAATAATCTACTACAAACTAGATAAATATCTATCTGGTTTGCAGTGAAGAGAATTTTCTACTTCAGGTATGAAGTTGCTATATGACGTTGCATTTGAAATCTTCAGTTTGAAAACTGTCCACTAACTTTCTAAATATATTCTTTAATAATCTTATTTCTCAGTCTTTTTTAAATTATTACTCAGATTATTGTCTTTACCATACCACCCAAATATTTTTCATTTTTAACATTCCCAGCAGAGTCAGCAAATGTCTCTTCTTTAACACATATACTTTCCTTCCTGTTATACCATACTTTCCCTATTGAACCTAGGTCTAATTGGATCATCTCTTTGCTTTCCAAAAAACGTCTTTAAAAGTATTTAACAAATATTTATATTGCTCGTACTGTAGTGCATGTACTGTTTTAATTTTTTTGAAGTGTTAATTTGTAATCATATCAACTCTATGAAGTAGGTACTTATGAGAAGTGCATATTTTACTCACTGTATCCTATTTTTAAGTGTGTTTTGTTTTCTTTGGTGAGGGGCTACCTTTGTCATATTTTGAAATAGCTTACATACTCTGTCCATAGAGATCATTATTTTTTTTAATATTCACTGCATTTCTAAAAGAGTTCTGCATCAGGTCTACACTTAATAAATATTTGATACAAAAAATACTGAATGTAATAGCATCATGTGAAATTAAAACAAAATTAACCTCTTTTTCTTGAGGAAAAGACATTTTGGAAAATACCAAAACTTACTTTTCCGTTTTCAAAATGTCTTGGCCAACGGTAGCTTGACATTACTCGTGTAAATCCATAGGGATGAGCGAGCATAAATCCAACTCCCATTTTGTACAGTCTATAATATTATAGAAGAAAATATTTTTTTAATATCATTAAAATGTAGGTTTAAAAATAGGGAACTTGGGCTTCCCTGGTGGAGCAGTGTTTGAGAGTCCGCCTGCCGATGCAGGGGACACAGGTTCGTGCCCCGGTCCGGGAAGATCCCACATGCAGCGGAGCGGCTGGGCCCGTGAGCCACGTCTGCTGAGCCTGCGCGTCCGGAGAAGCCAAAACAGTGAGAGGCCCGCGTACCACAAAAACAAAACAACAACAAAAAAAAATGGGGAACTTTGTTTCTTACCTAGGGTCCCAGAATGTAAGAATAGATGCTCCCCCAGCTCCACTCCCTCGCTGATTGTCATGGTTATCAACAAAGACAAGTGCTCTGTCAGAAGGCATGAAACCCCAGCCTTCTCCCCAGTTCCTATTTAAAAAGAAAAAAAAAAATCTTAAAAGCACCTATATGTATTCTTTTACAATAGCTTTAGAGTAACCTACATGTGTATTTCGTTCAGAATATAACCCTCTAATGAAATTCTCTCTCTAATTAAATGAGTATTCTGTAGGGCTTTCAAAATAGAAACTATATAGATATATTATCTACAAATTCATTTCATGCATGTATATATGTAGGAATTACTTGACTTACATTCATGTTACAGGTATAAGATTTTTGTTATAAAAGTTATTTTAGAAGTTTCACTAAATTATAATTTAGATGGACTGTAGAAGGTTCAACATTCTTATCATTTTATACACAATGGCAAACTGTTTTTAAATAAGGCTTCAATATTATATTGTTATAATATAAATATTTTAATATTTGAAATTAATTAATTGATTAATAATTCTACAGGACGACCACATTGTAGGGACTTCATAAAGTACAGAATCATTTTAACAATAACCTGGCCTGCACAAATTATGTGCAAACATTACTCAAATCTAATAGAGACGTATAATACCAGGATTAAAATCTCTATGTGATGTTTTGGATCTCTAAAATTACTTCCTCATGATTGACGTTCTAAATAATGATGATCAATTGGTGTTTGGGGAACTCTGACACTTGCTATTAGTAAATGAATCCTTGGATGTTGTCTAAATAAAAAGGCTTAAAGAGGAAAATTCATGTTGGGTAATATCACAAATAAATCTGTGAAATACTTCAAAGGATCAATTGTATTTCACTTACTTTAAGTAAGACATCTTCTCTCCATTCCACTTGCGCAGAACTGTGCCTAGTTTTGCACCGTATTTAAATTCTGTCACACGGCCATTTCCAAAGTACTCACTGCTTTTAATTGGCTCACCACCCAGATCAATTACCTAGTAGAAATCAAGAAGAAAATATCATTTTAAATAAGAGTTGAAAAGAATTTTAATTAACGAGTTACTATTATATAGAAAATAACTTTATGCTATTTATGTTATGTGAAATGACCCAAATCCTTTTGCTTATGTTAAGATTCTTATTTTCCTTTGTTAAAATCTATGCTACAATATTAAAAGTAACATGACAAAATAACCTGTTGTCCTGTGAGAATGCTGACCTAATTTACTCTTGCACATAAATGATAAGAATAGCTCACACTTATAGAGCACTTAATATCCAGCTGGCAATATTTCTAAGTGCTTGCTAAATATTACCTCTTTAGTTCTCCAAAGAAAACAAAGACATAACCATTATCATTATTCCTTTCGATAAACTTTGAAAAAATTGTTGCTCAGAGAGGTTAATCAATTTGCCTAAACAGACACAGCTAACAGCACTACAGCCAAGAATTTAAGTCACATAGCCTGGCTCAAGACAGCAACTATATTCTTATCTGTGTTCTATAATGGTCTCTGAGGAGATTATACATGACACAGAGACTTTTGGCAGCCTAAAAAATTCTCGGCACTTGCATAAAAAAGCTCCTGTGATAGAGTCAGACGTGCTGTCTCTGAATCAAAGGAGTTTAAGGAACATTCCTCCGTATACATGAGTCAGCCATTATCCTACAGAAATTGCACTTTTAATGAAATCTGCCATTTATTTTCTGATGAATCTTTGTTTTATCTGCACATATGTGTATTGATGTACCTCCTGGTAAATGAAAGGTTTACTTCCTGCAGGGAACCATCTTTTGTTTAGATTATGCAGTTTATCCAAAATTGCCTTCATGTCTCCAGGCCACATGTGCTTAGCGGCATCAATTCTGAACCCTGCTACACCAATGTCAATGAGACGGTTCAGATATTCAGCAATTGTGGAGCGCACATAATCTTTCTCCAGTGCAAGATCAAGAAGACCAACCAGACGACAATCTCGGACCTATTGAGGTAAAAAATGTTGTGATTGGTACATAAAGCATCACCTTTGCCTGAGAATCCATTTGATTATTCATTCATTTATTCATTAATGGATATTTCTATAGTGTCTTCTTTGCTTTGGTCTCTGGGGATACTGACATTCTAGTATGGACATACCTTTGAAACATTTTCTAGTATAAAAATGGAGAATGTAGGAAATACAGTGGATGAGCTTTTTTATTGTGAAAACTTTAATTGGGAAAAATGTTTTAAATATCGATTTGAGATTCTTTGTTTGAACAGTCAGGCTTAGAATCCTGTTCTAAGGAATCTCAACTAATATTTAAAATGAGATCAATAAGCTACATGTGGATAATAAAAGACATAGACAGCTCTTTTTGCTAATTACCTGAGAAGCATCATTATAGCTCTCAATTTCTCCACTTCTAGTTTTACATTTACCATCATTAAAATCCCAACCAGAGTACGGGACTGCTGGAAAATCCTCAGTTCCAGGGTTGAAGTAACTCCCACAAGTACTGCTCGTTCCTGCAGCCACACCATTTCCACACATATGATTAATTATAGCATCCACATAAATACGGACCTGAAAGGCCAAATTTCTATTTCAATGAGACTTAGAGAGAGGTAGAAATTTATAATGGTATTAATTTGAGTTTACAGCACATTAATATCACTCCAAAATATCTCTTTGTTATTTTATAACTTACCTTCCTAGAAGAGCAACAGTCAAATGTGAAAGGAAATAATTGGGAACTAAAGCCCTACATGCATTCTAGCCACTTGGTCGAATATTTACATATATGATAAATTAAGAGAACCCAAAACTACCATAACTGTGAAAAAATGCAAAGACCCTTTTTTTCTTGGCGGGGAGGGGCAGGAGAAAAGAATCAGATGAGGCAGGAGAGATGATTGGTTTTTGTAATTTCCATGGGTCATCCTAAGAAATAAAAAGCCAGTCTCTACTATCTATTTAGGATCAGTAAGTATTGTCTCTTGTTATGCTCCTCATCAAAGAGAAAATAATTATTTACCATCAAAGAACCTATAGGAAGAAAGACCCGGGACTTACGGGTGAAGACACAAGTCACATAAAAGTAACGCCAATACTGTAACTGGAATTTCCGATTCCTAACTGGAAAAGTGTTCCTCAGAAACGTATGCAGCCAGGAGGGTTAAAAGGTGATATTTTGCTGTATGAGTAAGTTCGTGGCCTTAAACTTTTTCTTACATCTTCTTTAGTGCATAAATAAATATTTACAAAAGCTGAACATAAGGCAACAATCACATTTTAATTTATGGCTAAAGCATGAAGTAAAATTTTAAAATATATGAAAATCGTTCTGCTTGAAAGGAACAGGAGGCAAGAGAGAAAAATCCTTTTTCTATATAATACTTTTAAAGGGAACTTTAATTCACTTACACCAACGTTGTTACATCTAGTCACCATGTCTTTGAATTCATTCTCATTTCCTGATCTTGTACATAACTTGTAGCTAACTGGTTGGTACCTTTCCCACCAAGGTCTTGAAGGATTATTAATTATTGCATTTTCATTGGGTGAGGAAACCTACAAATAAAACAACAGTAGTAAGTATCAAATTACAGCTTACTTTGTGTCACTGAATGTTCTAGAAATGACTCAAGAGTCTAAAATTGTTTCTGAATCTTTGTATTTGCAGCCACATTCCTTAACAACCATTAGAAAATATTAACTTCACATTGGAAATGTCCTGCTGAAAAAAATATTGTATTAGAAATAAAACATGAAGTTGCCAACAATTTCAATTTTTTTTCTTCCTCAGAAAACTGTTTTACTTAGAGTACTTATTTGTGAAGTAAAATGTTGTCCCAGCTTCACAGACACAGAGCATAATACCATTTACTCTAAGCACAGCGAAGTCTGCAATTTATACTGTGAACAATACCCACCTGAACCCCTCCAAATCCTTTGGGAGCTAAGTATCGCTCACATTCAAGAGCAATATCAACCCAGCGCCACTCAAACAGATGGACAATAGATGTCCGTCCAGATTCGGTATTTGGGGCATACTGAGCCCAGCAGAATCCAATGGCTGAAAGCAATAGAAAGAGCTTCATTTTGCTTTCAAGCTGTCAGTGTTCTTTCCAGCAACTATTTATATTCCTGTAAGAAGCATATTTTACAATGTAAATGTTAACATGAATAAACAGAGCACAAACCATTTATTCATAATCTGAAAAGAACTATCGATAATAATGTTAAACAGGTGAAGAACAGCCATAAAATCTCCCAGGAATAACACCTAAATGACCTTTTAGAACAATGTTTTCCTTTTTGAGGGAATATTAACCATTTTTAAACATCTGGCATTTTATATATCTCATTTATTGTGTTGTTCATCGTTGTTTGTTTCATCTTTAGTTCTTCTAGGTCCTTGTTAAATGTTTTTTGCATTTTGTCTATTCTATTTCCAAGATTTTGGATCATCTTTACTATCATTATTCTGAATTCTTTTTCAGGTAGACTGCCTATTTCCTCTTAATTTGTTAGGTCTGGTGGGATTTTATCTTGCTCCTTCATCTGCTGTGTGTTTTTCTGACTTCTTATTTTCCTTATCTTACTGTGTTTGGGGTCTCCTTTTTGGAGGCTGCACATTCGTAGTTCCTGTTGTTTTTGGTGTCTGTCCCCAGTGGCTAAGGTTGGTTCAGTGGGTTGTGTAGGCTTCCTGGTGGAGGGGACTAGTGCCTGTGTTGTGGTGGATGAGGCTGGATCTTGTCTTTCTGGTGGGCAGGTCCACGTCTGTTGGTGTATTTTGGGGTGTCTGTGGACTTATTATGATTTTAGGCAGCCTCTCTGCTAATGGGTGGGGTTGTGTTCCTGTCTTGCTAGTTGTTTGGCATAGGATGTCCAGCACTGTAGCTTGCTGGTCGTTGAGTGAAGCTGGGTGCTGGTGTTGAGATGGAGATCTCTGGGAGATTTTCGCCTTTTGATATTATGTGGAGCTGGGAGGTCTCTTGTTGACCAGTGTCCTGAAGTTGTCTCTCCCACCTCAGAGGCATAACACTGACTCCTGGCTGCAGCACCAAGAGCCTTTCATCCACACGGCTCAGAATAAAAGGGAGAAAAAGTAGAAAGAAAGAATTAGTAGAAGGAAAGAAAGAAGAAAGAAAGAAAGAAAAGAAAAGAAAGAAAGGAGGGAGGGAGGGAAGGAGGGAGGAAGGAAAGAAGGAAGGAGGGAAGTAAGGAAAAAATGAAAGAAAGAAGATAAGGTAAAATAAAGTAAGATAAAATGTAATAAAGTTATTAAAATAAAAAAAAATAATTAAGAGAGAAAAAAAAAGGACGGATAGAACCCTAGGACAAATGGTGGAAGCAAAGCTATACAGACAAAATCTCACACAGAAGCATACAGATACACACTCACAAAAAGAGGAAAAGGGGAAAAATCATAAATCTTGCTTTCAAAGTCCACCTCCTCAATTTGGGATGACTCGTTGTCTATTCATGTATTCCACAGATGCAGGGTACATCAAGTTGATTGTGGAGCTTTAATCCGCTCTTCTGAGGCTGCTGGGAGAGATTTCCCTTTCTCTTCTTTGTTCTCACAGATCCCAGGGGCTCAGCTTTGGATTTGGCCCCGCCTCTGCGTGTAGGTCGCCGGAGGGCGTCTGTTCTTCGCTCAGACAGGACGGGGTTAAAGGAGCCGCTGATTCGGGGGCTCTGGCTCACTCAGGCCGGGTGGAGGGAGGGGCACGGAGTGCAGGGCGAGCCTGCGGCGGCAGAGGCCGGCGTGACATTGCACCAGCCTGAAGCGCGCCGCGTGTTCTCCCGGGGGAGTTGTCCCTGGATCCCGGGACCCTGGCAGTGGCGGGCTGCACAGGCTCCCCGGAATGGGGGTGTGGATAGTGACCTGTGCTCGCACACAGGCTTCTTGGTGGCGGCGGCAGAGCAACCTTAGCGTCTCATGCCTGTCTCTGGGGTCCGCGCTTTTAGCCGCAGCTCGCGCCCGTCTCTGGAGCTCCTTTAAGCAGCGTTCTTAATTCCCTCTCCTCGCGCACCAGGAAACAAAGAGGGAAGTAAAAGTCTCTTGCCTCTTCGGCAGGTCCAGACTTTTACCCGGACTCCCTCCCGGCCAGCCGTGGCCCACTAACCCCCTGCAGGCTGTGTTCACGCCGCCAACAACAGTCCTCTCCCTGCGCTCCGAACGAAGCCCGAGCCTCAGCTCCCAGCCCCGCCCGCCCCGGCGGGGGAGCAGACAAGCCTCTCGGGCTGGTGAGTGCCGGTCGGCACCGATCCTCTGTGCGGGAATCTCCCCGCTTTGCCCCCCGCACCCCTGTTGCTGCGCTCTCCTCCGCGGCTCCGAAGCTTTCCCCCTCCGCCAGCCGCAGTCTCCGCCCGCGAAGGGGCTTCCTAGTGTGTGGAAACCTTTCCTCCTTCACAGCTCCCTCCTGGTGCAGGTCCCGTCCCTATCCTTTTGTCTCTGTTTATTCTTTTTTCTTTTGCCCTACCCAGGTACGTGGGGTGGGGGTGGGGGGGGGGGCGTTTCTTGCCGTTTGGGAGGTCTGAGGTCTTCTGCCAGCGTTCAGTAGGTGTTCTGTAGGAGTTGTTCCACGTGTGGATGTATTTCTAGTGTATCTGTGAGGAGGAAGGTGATCTCCGCGTCTTACTCCTATATATCTTCCCGGAAGCTCCTATATATCTATATGTATATAAAACGTCTGTAATCATGTATTATTTAACTAGGATTCGATCATATTTCTTAAGTCCTTCAGTAAACGAAGGAGATTAACAATTAGGGCCAACTGAATTCACAGTGAAAATTTTGCCTGAACTATCTATTGCAAACATTTGTAATGTTTCAATTTCAAGAAGAAACAGAATATTCAATTCAGTTCTGGTTTCACCTTCAAAGAAAATTTGTAGTTATTTCAATTTCTGGATTAAGATTTAAGAAACTATTTGGAAGATGGATGCCCATGCATTGAGGCAACAGACCTTTCCCCTCCCCCCTCCCCCCTCCATCGAATCCTGTGCTTAATGCATTGGCTATAGCAGTCGAGTGTGGCTTTTTTTTCCTCTCTCTCTCTCTTATTTCTTATAACCAAATATCTCTTCTACCTGATCAAACACTACATTAATAAATTTGCATCCATTTTCCTTCTTAATGTACACGAAATCCTGTACATTAATATAGAGAATATACTACAGGCGGGAAGAAGTCCATTCATTCAACAAGCATTAACTGAGTGCCTGCTTTTTGCTAAGCACATGGATGATACTCAGGATACAATGATGTAGAAGATGGACAATATTTTATTCTTGAGCAGCTTACATTCTAGTGGAAAAACAGAAAATACATGAGTTAATAATAAAACTTCAAGATGGCAATAAGAACTAATATGAAATAACAGTGTAATGAAATAGAAAATGACTTCACCATCAGGGTATTTTAGACTGAATAATCTGGGAAGGTATCTTCAAGAAAGTGATTTTCAACTAGAATTTGTAGGTCTAGAAGGAGCTAGTTATTTGAAGATCAGAGAAAGAGAAATCTAGATAGAACAAAGTGCAATAGTAAAAGCCCAAGGTAGGAAAAAGCTTAGAATACTCAAGTCTCTCTCTCTCTCTCTCTCTCTCTCTCTCTCTCTCTCTCACACACACACACACACACACACACACAGTCAGCACAGCTAAACAGTGTGTGATAAAAGGGAGAGTAAAGTAAAACTGTATTCCTGTAAGAAGCATATTTTACAAAGTAAATGTTAACATGAATACATACTTAGAGCACAAACTGTTTATTTGTAATCTGAAAAGAACTATCAGTAAAAATGTTTAACAGGTGAAGAACATCCATAAAATCTCCCAGCAATACCATCTAAGTGACCTTTTATAACAATGTTTTCCTTATTGAGGGAATATTAACCTTTTTAAACATCTGGCATTATATATATCTACAAAGTCTGTAATCATGTGTTATTTAACTAGGATTAGATCTTTTTTTTAAGTCCTTCACTAATAGAAGGAAAATAACAATTAGGGCCAACTGATTTCACAGTCAAAATATTGTCTTAACTATCTAGTGCAAGCATTTGTAATGTTTCGATTTCAAACAGAAACGGAATTATTCAATTCAGTTCTGGTTTCAGTCCCAACCAAAGTTTTTAGTTATTTAAGTTTCTGCCTTAAGAAATTTCTATATGAGGACTTCCCTGCTGGCACAGTGGTTAAGAATCCGCCTGCCAATGCAGAGGACACGGGTTTGAGTCCTGGTCTGGGAAGATCCCACATGCCGCGGAGCAACTAAGCCCATGAGCCACAACTACTGAGCCTGTGCTCTACAGCCCGTGAGCTACAACTACTGAGTCCACGTGCCACAACTGCTGAAGCCCGTGCGCCTAGACCCCGTGCTCTGCAAGCAGAGAAGCCAGTGCAATGAGAAGCCCATGCACATCAAGGAAGAGTAGCCCCTGCTCGCAACAACTAGAGAAAGCTCACGCACAGCAACAAAGACCCAATGCAGCCAAACACAAATAAATAAATAAATAAATAGATAGATAGATAAATAAATAAAGAGTAGCTCCCGTTCGCCGTAACTAGAAAAAGCCCAGGTGCAGCAACGAAGACTCAATGCAGCCAAAAAAAAATAAATAAGTAAACAAACAAATAAATAAAATTTTAAAATGAAAAAATAATAAAAGAAATTTCAGTATGACATTTTATTCTGAGGTGGATAGATATTAATAAAACGTACAACCATAAAATATTAGCTACATCAAGACATTAAGTTTAGAGAAGGTAATTCTGTGGTTTCTCTTCCATTAGGACATAATCACAGGACCCAAATCTGACCAGACATAAGATCTTTAGACTAATTCAGTCCACCACTGCACCACAGAACACCTGAGCAAACCCCTAGGTGACGGTGTTGTACCAGAACATCTTTCCTGATGTCCTGGATGTTTTGGAAACTGTGGGTTTTACCATCAAAAGCAGTGTCACTGTGAAAGACTTTGAGTTCAGATATGATACGGTAAGGTCTTAAGTGCTAATGATCACAGTACTGAGATCAGGCATATTTCAAAATATAAGCACTGATGCATTTAAGTTGTATTGCTAATCTTGTAAATACATTAGGTTAACTAAGCGAAGCAACAAGTCTATTCTCAGTAGAATGATTTATAGATAGGTTGGGCAGGAGGTTTGCAGCAGGGTTAGGTGCCAAAGTGAGTCCAGAGTGACAATTCCAGATAATCAAAAAAGGAAACAAAGAATACATCCGATGATTGAAATAATTCTAACAGCGCTCTAATTTCTAACAGTGAATGATGGAACCATTGAGAATTCTAAAGTGTTTCTGCTTTTCTGCCTGGCTACAGGGTATGCTCCATTCTATTTAAGTGTTGAGGTTCTGTGATCTTAATTTACAGCGATATATTTGTTTGTTGTTTTTCTAAGGATAAGAGGAGATAATGGAGTGGTATCGTAGAATGCAGACTGTTAATTTAATGTCCATAAAAATCCATGAGCGCAGTGTATCCAGTCAGAAATGTTTAGTGGAGGGATTCTCAACATGATCAGAAGCTGTAATAATGATACAATTCAACCAATAAAAAAGGACTGAGAGAGACAAGACCTCTCTCTTTCCCAAGAAATCAGGAAACCTTGAAGAAATAACTCATAAAGAAATAAAGGCAAAACCTGATCAAACGGTTAAGGGAAAGGAGGGAGGAGTCTGAGTCCTCTAATGCCTCTGTCTCTCAGATGGATTGTGGTCAAATTCCCACAGACTGATTGCTAAAGTCTGGAGAAGGAACAAACGCATATATACTGAAATTCTTTGTGATACATTTGAATTAAAAGGCAACACTGATCTGAGACTTATGCAACATGGTGTTGCAGGAAAGAGATTCTTCCCAAACAGAAAAAGACTTTGGCACTAAAGAGCTCTAATAGCGGCTTTGGCGTGGAAGTGTGACCTCAACAGCGTGGTCTCTGTACAAGGAGAAATTGCATCAGCAGGGAAAGGGCTGGTGGTCTATATTAGTCAAAAGACAGTTTCACATGGTAGCTTAGCAGGCATCAAGGAAGCCACAATATAAAGGAGGAAGATGGCTGGTGCCACACGGTTCAGGAGAATACAATCACGTCTGAGATATGGCATCACATCTTCCAGATAGAGAATCTGGAAGACTTTGAGGGCAAGCTGTCAGTGCCACAGGAAATGAGTGGAGTCAGAGTTTGAGACATACAATGAAACATGTGAATCTTCAGACACATCTTCACTGAGACCAGAGAGTTGATATGAAACCTAACTGAGGAAACAAAGTTATTGGCTAAAGAACCCCTTTTATTTAGCAAATCTGCACTTTCAGGAGAAATAACAAATGAATTAAGTGTGAGTCCAGGATATAGTGAAACATTAAGATGACATGGAGTACATGACCCTTGAAATGAGGGGTCATGTGTGTGCTAGCAAAGTGATATGACGAGCCCAGAAAAAGAAAATTTTGGAGAGAGACCACAGAGCAAAAAGAAGCATAGGTTTTAGTATGAATGTTTTGGATTTCAAGTGGCAAAAACAATCAAGAACAATTTGTTAGCTTTGTCACTGGGAAGTTAAGGGATACAGATGGCTTCGGACTGGAATTAAAAGCTCAAAGAAACCTCAAGACATTTTCTGTCTCCATCTCTTGGCTCTGCTTTCCAGTGTCTTGGCTTCATTCTCAGGCAGGATTTTCCCACACCATGGCAAAACTGGTCAAACGCAGTGTCAAGCTTACTTCCAAGCAGACTGGCAAACTCAGAGAAAAAAGTAAGCACCTCTTTCCCAACAGTGTAAGCCAAAGACTCAAGACTGACTCTTAATTGGTCTGGCTCGGCATATAAACCCACCCCTGAACCAAACACTGCAACAAGGGAATGGAATGTCCTGATTGTTCCAGCATAGATCACATGCCTACCCCTGCAGGTGAGAAATAAGGCTAACTGTGCCTTAACAGAATGGGTGAAACATGGTCTCTGTGTGGCTTCTTACCAGGAAACTTATGTACTGTTACCACTAAAGGAGGTGGGGATGCTTGACAGGGATGAACAATAAATACTCATCACACGCACATGTTCGAATCTTCTGGCTCATGTGGATAATACCCTGGAAGGAATTATCACTAAAAGTTATTGCTAACTATAATAATTAACTATAAAAGGAAACTACATAATCTTAGAATTATGGTAGTGGAAAGTGTGCATGTACTTGTAAGTATGTTGTCTAATAAGTACATTGTGGATTTAGTATACCCTATTTGTCTTGAAGTGTCCATGATAAATGTTGAGTTTGGTTTTTGTCTGTACTTGCCTTTGATAATTTTGGTCTGGATTATTATTCCAAATTCTGTAGTTTGTCAATGCTAAAGAAATATACATGCAAGTCTTTTGCCATATGGCTTTGCAATTCTTCCTATTAAAGTATACAGAGTATATCTGCTTACTCAAATGGCATTACTTCTTACTCAAAGCCACTAATAGAGCTCTTAGGCTTGTCCATGTGTCTTGCTTTAATCAATGGAATATTTTCACACTGAGGCAAGCAAAGGCTTTAAATGTTCTTTCATGACAAGACTTGGTCCCTGTATTTCTGTTTGCATCATGAAAAGAACATACCTTGAGCGGCCACTGACTGAAGAAAATGGATCAGACATGACTTTAACTCACAGCCTGAAGTCAAGCCCAGGTAAACGACATCATGAAGCCGAGCTGTCTCAAACAACCTGCAGACCTCGGAGCAGGAAAATTCAGCATTTGTTGTTTTAAGCTCCCAAGATTTTGAGTTTCTTGATTATGTAGCATTATTGCAGCTAAAAACTATTCAGCTTTTCACACTCCCTGTGAGTTACATTCCACTTATTTTCAACATAATATATTGTATAAAAATGCTGCTGTTAAAAATAGTAAGAACATTTTGACATATTACAGATTATTTCATA